ATTTATCATAATGGGTTTTAGTCTTGTTTGGTCCGGTTTTTTTTTGTTTGATTCCTTCTTTTTGGAATGGGAATGCATATCCTGTGCTCTTGTTTTTTGAGATCATATCAGTTGTTACTCATTTTTATAGAGGTTCACAGCTAAGTGATTCTGAGAGGAGACTTGGAATTTCAAGCAGTATTGGAACTATTAATTCTTTGGGGAAGTAATACTATGCAGGTTAGTTGTATCTTGTTAGGCAGAACTATGAACTTGGATTAGTTTGGAGGTTAAGTATGGTTTAAGGACTTTTCTGTCCATTGAGGAGCAGTAAAATGTGACTTGATCTGCTCAGGAGCCACCTAGGGGGATCAATAAAGTACATCTTCTGGGTGGGTCATGGAGGCATGACCTTGTGGTCTGTATCTGGTCCCTGGCATTTTCCTCTCTCCTTCCATGTCATTGTAAAAGAAACATTGTTGCTCCACCATGCCCTTCTGCCTTGATGTTCCTGGCTTGGAGCTAGCCTGATGGACTGAAACCTGTGAAGACATGAGCCAGTTAAAATTCTCCAATAAATTGTATGTGTCAAGTACTTTATCCCAGCCATGAGTAGGTGGTATAATGCATGAGATTAGTGCCCCAAGATTCATTTGCCTTCCAAAATCCTTACCTCTGAGCACATGAGACTTTTGAGGAAGAACATTTTAGGTCTAAATTATAATATGGAGTTAAAACTTTTTAATTTCTATGAATATGATGCATACCAGCCCTTTGCTATATGTATACATCTGCAGAAGTAATTGGGGACTATCATGGAGGCTGGTACTGTCACTTTATATAACAAAAGTATATTCCCAGAAATTTCACCATTAATCTTTGTTTCTTTCTGTTTTTTTTTTTTTTTTTTTTTTCAAATGTACTTAGTACAAGGTCTACAGGGTCTCACTACACAGATTGAACTCATAGTGAGTTCATACTGTTTTCAGCTTCCCAAGTCCTGGGATTACAGGTACGAGCCACGACGTCCATTTTCAATCATAGTCTCAGCATCCTGGGGACAGGGCCCGCCCAGCCGGTGTTCTGCTGGGGATCCAACCCAGTTCTTACATGTGCATAAGCAGGTGTTTTAATCCTCTGAGATATCTGGCTGGCCCTGTTCTTTTTCTTAAGTAATTTTTATTACTTTTTAACTTAACTCTGTCATTGATACCTTTTGACTCTAACATAAAACCTGGCTTACTTATTTTTACTATTTAAAGCATTACTTAGTATATGTCTGCACCTTGGGCCAGCAAGATAGCTCAGCTGACTAAGCACCTGCTTTTCAGGGACCAGGGTTCATTCCCTGGTCCCACAATGTGGCACTGACTCCACTTCTGGGGTGCACTGAGCCAGCAACAGTGCGGGTGTGGTGGCACATACCTGTAATCCCAGCACTGGGGAGGCTGAAAACAGGAGGATCACTATGAGTCTGAGCTGCATATTGAGACCCTGTACCAAATAAATAAATTGAAGAAGAAGAAAAAAAAAAGAATATAAATGTCTGCAACTTGCCTTCTCTGTAGTTCTTTGAAGTGTGCAAAAATGTTGCTTCTTGAGTTTTTTTGTTCCCATTTTATTTTGTTTCTGTTTTTGTTTTCACAATTAAACATAGACTTCTTAATTAAATTAAAAATACTATGACAATACCATTTGGTGTTACATGAAATAGTTTCAAAATAAAGGAATACTTTGTAGAGATAGTAATAAACCTCTGAAATTTTTAATGCTAGAAGTGATATTTTTCAAAATGAGTTCCTAGGACTTTAGAAAGCTATATCCAGAAAAATCCAAAGCCTTTATTAATTTTGACCAATACACTTAAGAACAATTATGGTTGGTGAATGTGAGTTCTTTAGAAACTTTGATGAAACAGCTACTAAATGGAGTCTTAATCTTATCCATTCTGATGATGTCTAAGTTTATATTTAATAAATAAGTAGATAAGTAATAGATAAGTATAGTGTAAGTCAGTTTTTTGTTACTTGGGTAAAACCACCTGACATACATAAAGGGCAAAGGTTTATTTTGGCTCATGGTGTCAGGCAGTTCAGTTGTGGTTGGTTGGTGCTAATGCAGAAATGGTATGGTGGAGGGGCTTGTTCAAAGTAGGTTGCTCAACCCATGCATCTAGGAAGCAGAAAAACGGAAAACTGGGCCTTAGCTTTATAAAAGTGCATTCAACAGTGCTCATCAGTGAACTGATTTGCTTCAAATAATACAGTGCCATGCCCATGATCCAGTCATCTTCCAAAATCCCCTCAGTGAACACATGAGACAAAGGCATTTTGGATTTAAGCTGTAATAATGTGCAGACTTTGGTAAATTAAAGGTTTGGAATTGTGCCTGTTTTCTAGTGATTAAGCTTTTAGCTGTTGATGATTCTGTTTATAGCTATTGACTTCAGGCAAATTGTTGTAGTGTTCTGTATCTGAAACAGGCATTATTAATGAGATTGAGCTTTTTCCCCATGTATTTAATGATTATTCTTAGCACATTCTGTTGTAGAATTAATTGGTCTACTTTCTAAGAATAAGAACTTATTGTCATGTGTTTTGCCTATTTCTCCTACTTGATTATATTTATGTACCTATTTACCTCATTTTAAATTCTGGTTGGTTCAATTCTAAAACTGAATTATGAAATATCCACTGTTAAGATGGTATCTAAATCTGGTTAGTCTCTACCTTTTATGTTGTTTGTTAATACCATTAAGAAAACATTGGAGAGGAGCCTTTTTGCTAAGATGGCACCGAAGGCTAAGAAGGGAACCCGTGCCCCTCCCAAAGCTGGAGCCAAAGCAAAAGCTTTGAAGGCCAAGAAGGCTGTGCTGAAAGGCAGCCACAGCCACAAAAGGAAGAAGATATGAACATCACCCATCTTCTGCCATCCCAAGACATTACAGCTCCAGAGGTAGCCCAAATACCCTCAGAAGAGCGCCCCCAGGAGAAAAGCTTGACCACTATGCCATCATCAAGTTCTCCTTAACCACAGAGTCAGCCATGAAAAAGATTGAGGACAACACCACACTCATGTTCATTGTAGATGTCAAAACCAATAAGCACCAAATAAACAAGCTATAAAGAAGTTCTATGACGTTGATGTTGCCAAGGTCAATACCCTAATCATGCCTGATGGAGAGAAGGCATGTGTTCAACTGGCTCCCGATGATGATGCATTGCATGTTGCCAACAAAATTGGGATCATCTAAACAGAGTCCAGCTGGCTAATTCTAAATATATACTTTTTTTTTCCCAGTTAAAAAAGCAAAACATTGAAGAACACTTTTTTTTAAATATATTTAGTACACGTTCTACAGGGTCTCACTATACAGATCGGACTCATAGTGATCCTCCTGTTTTCAGCCTCCCAAGCAATGGGGTTATAGGAATGTGCCAGCACGACCAGTCTCAATCACCATATCAGTACCCCGGGGGCAGGGCCTTGCACAGCATGCTGGGGATCAAACCCTGGTCCCTGCGTCTGCCTAAGCAGATGCTTTAGTCTATGAGCTATCTGGCCTATGCATGTTTTGAAGAAGATTTAACAGTTTAAAAATAGTTGAGCAGCTTTTATTTTTTGTTACTTAAAAAGTTGTTGGTATGAAGTAAATGGGCTATAAATTTAGGTGTTTCTCTTACCTCACTTAGTGCTGCCCTCTTGGCAGTACTCAAAGACACCCTTAGGATTGAGCGGCTAGTGTAGTACATGCAGTGGGTTCCGTGTCCTGATCTAAGCCCGTGAGTGCTTGCTGGCTGTGTACCTGAATCTGAATGACAGCAGTAAGCATTTATTTTTATTTTTCCAGAACTTACCTTATTTTCTAGCTATAAGTATCAGATTTGCCTAGCACTTTTTTCTTTTTCAGTGTATTTAGTTGTTACAAGGTCTCACTACACAGCTTGGACTCATGGTGATCCTCCTGTTTTCAGCCTCCCAATCACTACGATTACAGGGGTACACCACCACGCCCACACTCTGTAGCTAGGTTCAGCCTGCTGTGGGGGCAGGTCTTGTGCAACATGTGGTACTGAGGATGGAACCACGGTCCCTGTGCTTGCCTAAGCTTGCCTGAGCAGGTACTTAATCTCCTGTGCTAACTGGCCAGCCCCATGCCTAGGCTTTTAATTAACAAGAAGTAGTTTGAATTTTATACAGAATAAGCTAATCTGAACATTTTAAAGATTTAAATACTAACTAGGTACCAATTAAGTCCATTAAAAAACTGAAGAAATATTGATGATAAAGACATCAATCATTAAATTTTTTCATGCTTGTTCAGTGTTGAACACATTTCTCCAGAGGAACTGTGATCTGCTGATCCAAATAGAACCCTGTGCTGGGCAACACCTCCTCAGTGCTTAAGAGGCCTGTCATTGTTAGAAAGTGCAATGAGAACTATTTAGGCTTTATAAATCCCACATAGTTGGCTAGGATATTTACATAGTGAATTATCATAGAAAATCAAGCTGTTGGGAAATTCCAATGGTAATTTTGAGTTCTATGATAGATGTTTAATATCTTTTGAACAAGAGATCTTATTTAATTGCTACCACAGCAGCCATTCATATTGATAACAATCCTTAGAGGATAAATGTAGCACTTTGAGAAAGTTTGAGGCATTGTTCCTTTTCTCAGATTTTTATTAATTTTTCAACTCATGGTTTTTACTGAACATAGCAGTACTTTTTTTTGATGCCATTTGAGTTTGAAACACATTTGCTTTTTTAGAGTTTATGAAGTAGGAGTCACTAGTGTTAGATCATGCAATGTTTGTTGTCAATTAAGAAATCTCTGCAGTCTTATTCATCCTTGTCATTCATAGACTTTTAAAGGGGAACAAACACATTGTATGTTGTTGCTATTCAGTGTGTCTGTGTATTTGGATGGATGGGGCAAGAATATAAAGACTTTAAAAATATTTTTTTTTTTTTTTCTGCCAAGCTAGACGTGCCTTTTTCTTTGTATTTTCTTTTTAGGTCAGATGTACCAACAGTACCAGCAGCAAGCTGGCTATGGTGCACAGCAGCCTCAGGCTCCGCCTCAACAACCTCAGCAGTATGGTATTCAGTATTCAGGTGAGCAGGTTTTGAAGGGAGGTGGTTTATGGTTTTCAATCTGCTTCTGTATTTTCTAAATGTTCAGCTCTTCCCTTTAAGTACATGACTAATACATTGCCACATTTATCAGAGGAGACATTTGTTTTATTTAAAATTTATTTGTAAATGTTTTATAGGAAAGATTAGCATTTCTGTTTTCTTGTGGGCAGATAAGATCTGTAGTAGATTATGCTATAGTAATTTGTACTGTAAAAAAGCTTTTAACACAAAGAAGTTTCTTGCCAGCATGATTAGCTTATCTCGAGATGGCTTAGCACTGCAAAAAATGCAAGATTCCACCCCATTTTTATGTAGCACATGATTCCAGTGTCCTTAAGTACTTGTAGAAATATTAACAGTTCTCTCAAACAGAAAAGTGATCTTATTAAATAAAAATTAAATCAAGCTACTTAGCTATGTACATATAAAAAATGTAGGACATCAAAAATTTGCTGTAAAAATAACTTTAACTCAAGCAACTGAGTTTTTAGTTCAGTTGTTTTAAATAAGCATCTAGGATTTTTTTTTGTTATACTTCTGTCATTTGAAGATTATCTGTATTTAAGTATGATAAATATCTGTAATGTAGCTTTGATTATACGTTAGGTTACTTTATATTTATGCCAGAGTCTGATTCCAAATCTTGGTTTATAGACAGAAATTAATTAATTATTTTTTTTGCAGTACCAGGGATTAAACTCAGGACCCTGTGCTTGCCAGGCAGGCATTTATTCTACTGAGTTATCTCCCCAGCCCACAGCCAGAAATTTAAAAATAAAACTTTTAACTCTAATTAAAAATAATTTATGAGCTGGGTATAGTGCAAGTGCCTGTAATAGCAGCTACTTGGGAAGTAGAAACAGGAAGTCTAAAGTTGGGGGCCATAGTTTAGTGAGACCCTGTCTTGACTTAAAAAAGGTCTGGGGTTGTAGTTCAGTGGTAGCATACTTGCTTAGCATGTTGAAGCCCTAGGTGCAGTCCCCAGTACTGTCAAAAAGAATTTTGAATTCAGTTTTTTAAAAAATAAATTTGATTTAAATTATATTTTACAAATCAAGCAGCAATAAACAAACTTGCTTTTTTTGTGAATAAAACTTGAGTAGAACATTTCTAGCCCTGTTCATTTCTGTATTTTCAATTGCTGATTTGGCATAATAATGGCAAAGTGGAGTAGCTGAAACATGTGGTACACAAAGCCTAAAATATTCACTATCTGCTGAAGTATTGGATAAGGTAGACACTGAAAAAAGACTTAAAAGTACTTCTCTATGTCAACTGTAATCTGTCTTGTAAAAATTGCCCTTTGTTGTATAAATTTGCTAATCCCTGATGTAGACCAAAACATTCAGTCATAAATTGGAGTTTGATATATTTTAAAACGAACAACACTTTTATTTGGGTTATATTTGCTCTAGCACTATTTAACCTGTGGCTAGTACTAGTTTTTAATTGTATGAAACAGATAGAATTAACTTAGGATCTAGTCACCATCTAAACTAGGGGATTTTGGCCCAGATTGCTTCATAGACAGAGGAGCTTCTTGATGCCTGGCCCCTGTTTTCATAAATTTTGTTTGATACTTGGTTATGGGTAGGATTTAGGCTTTGATACAGTGTTTAAAAAGCATCACAGTACATCTGCAGCCAGGGCTGAGGACCAATCATTTTGTCCCATTTATTGATTTTATAAATGAGGAACATAGGATCAAAGAGGTACATGTCCTAGGACATGTAACTATTCAGTGGGACAACTAGACCAAACCCTAGTTCTCTGAATTTTGTAGTTGTCTGTATCATTCTGCATTGTGCAATCTAGATCGAGAGTTAGCAGACTTTTTCCATAAAAGTCTAGATAATAAATATTTTAGACTTTGTGGGCTATATGATCCATCTTTTATTCATTGATTTAAAATTAAATCAGAATTTCTGATTCTTGGAATTTCTGATATTCACCAAAAGTTGCTCATTTTTTTTTTGCAGGGGCAGGAATGGAAATGGAAGACTAATACAAATAATAAAAAACATTGCCACATTGTAAACAAAAGATTAGGAGGTTGCTAATGAAATGCTTCTTGAGCTCTTAGGGTCAGTCCCTCTCTGAATAATAATTAAGGACCTGGTTGTTTCCTGACTCAGGTTAAATTTTATTTGCCAGAATGAAAAGGGAGCTTTGTACTTTTCCCCGTCAGTCTCAAATGAGGTAGACATGTTCAGCATGAAGTTGAATTCTTGTGTTTTGCTAAAAATTAACAATAAAAAATAAAGTTGAAAACTTCTATGTACAAGATAGGGGAAATTGTATGGCATTCAAGATTTTATCCTGAATTTAGTTAAGTATTTAGGTGCTAGTATGAATACAATGCTTTAGATATTTGATCTTATTAACAACTAACCTTTCTACTGGTAATTTTAGGGTGTTCACTCAGTAAGATTTAGTTCTTTTGAAATTATCTTTGTATTTCTGATCCCAGTAGTTTTATAACTTGAATTTGATTGACAGTTATGGAAACAAATTGGAGCATTTTGACATTGTTGGTTTGCCAGTTTCCCTCTGACCTTTTGCAGTTTTGTTCATGGACTGTATCATAAAGGTTTATTTCATGAGTAAATTTTGAACCCAAGTTCAAGGTGAGTTCAGAATATACTCAAATTCATTCAATCCTTTTTTTTTAAATGCAGGGTTGTACATATTTTAATAATTTTCTTATGTATCTGGTATTTAATGCTGACAGGATTCCAGTCATTGGAGAGGTTTCATTGCAAGTAGCTGCAGGTGTGTTTCATGGTAGAGATAAAAAGTTTTCAGTGAAGCAGACTTTGTTTTAAGAAAATTACGTCCTCGTAAATAATGAATGTGGATGTTGATTTTGTTGGGCGATACAGTATGCTTTTTGTATGTTATGCTGTACTGCTAAGTTAAAATTTTAGTTGTACAAAGAATTAGGTACCAAATATAAAAGAAATGAAAAAATTTAAGGATTATAGAAATGGTACATCATATTTATTCTAAGTGGTGTGATAACTAAATAAAACTTAAAGCATCTTAGTGTAATAAGGTATATTTGTAGTATTGTTTCATTTAAAACTCATTCTCTGCAATGTTTTTCTTTAGAACTTTTAGTAAATAGGCCTCCCATCAAAACCATTTAGTTCTTAACTATCTAGTTTTTACTTAGAAAGTGTGTTAATTCCTTCTTCAAGCGTCTTTAAACTAGAAATTATAATGGACCATGAATAACCGCTACGAAGACAATAATATGCAATGTATTAATTATTGAAACTGTCCTATTAATCGGTTTTGAAACTGCCTCATTGCTATTTATTTCTCAATAAAATTAATAAAAACAAATAAAAAGATTATATTGGAGCAGGAATTTGCTCTTGGGCTGGCTATAAAGTCTCAAAGCAGTTATAATAAATACATATATATTGGGTTCATGTTAACATTAAAGAGTTTAAAAGTTGTCTAGAAAAATATCTCTTTAATAACTGGTCTTGAAATAATATTTTACATAGGAAGCTACCACTCATTACATATATTAGTAAGCTTATTGAACTTTTAATCAGTTTTGATCCATAACAGTAAGACTAATTCTCTGGAAACCTTTCATCAAAAGAGACATGAGGTATATATGCTATTTGTTTTGCCTTTTTCAGCTAGCTATAGTCAGCAGACTGGACCTCAGCAACCTCAACAGTTCCAGGGATATGGCCAGCAACCAACTTCCCAGGCACCAGCTCCTGCCTTTTCTGGTCAGCCTCAACAACTGTCTGCTCAACCACCACAGCAGTACCAGGCGAGCAGTTATCCTCAACAAACTTATACTGCCCAAACTTCTCAGTCTACTAATTATACTGTGCCCCCTCCCTCTCAGCCTGGAATAGCTCCAAGCCAGCCTGGGGCTTATCAACCAAGACCAGGTTTTACTTCACCTCCAGGAAGTACCATGGCCCCTCCTCCAAGTGGGCCTAACCCTTATGCACGCAATCGTCCTGCCTTTAGTCAGGGCTATACCCAGCCTGGACCTGGTTATCGATAAGGAGGTTCAGCTGTCCTGATGAATATAGCTGTTTGCCTCCCAAGACTCCAATACTATTTTATTTTAACTTGTATTGAAGTTCAGAAATTTAAACAGCAGAGCATTTTTTATGGTATCATTGTTGCTGTTAATTGAAAATATAATTTGCTGGAACACAAAAAGACCAAAATGAAAATCTTTTTCCTCTCCTGCTTAAAATGTAGCAGCTTTCTAGTTATTTTGGAACACTACTCTTACATGTGTGTAAAGTGATTGGCTTTCTAGCTTCTCTTGTCCAGAGCATATTAAAACGCTAGGTTGAGGTTTAGCCATCTTACTTGGCTTTTTACTGTTAACATGATGTACTAAAGTAGAATCCTTTGAGAAGATGACTAGATACTATATATAAAAATGTAACATTGATAGGTTAATAAAGGTGATTGAATCCATTAGTGGTCTTGTAATTTAATCACTAACATACGTATAGTTTTATTTCACAGAAATGCTTATTAATATTTGTTCTTAAAGTGAAATAGCTTACAGATTTCCATTCAGAGAAACAATGCCTTTTGGTTTTTGTAATGATTGTGAAAGAAATGCATTTAACAGTCACTGGTTTAAACCTTAAAGTAGAACTCACCTTAATTGAGAATATTAACACAGTAGATACACTATGAAAAAGATGAAAGGGTGTAGTAGATCCTAACTTTGTGATTTTGTTTCTTGTGGAGGTAAAGGTATGTTTACATATAGATAAACCATTCATAAAATAAAATAAAAAACCTCAGTCTTAAAAAAACTACATCTCTTTATTGACGAATTTATACTTAAAAAATACAAAGTTTAGCATTGATAAAATGGAAGCATGTTGAAAGATAAGCATAGGGAAAGGTCCTTCCAGGAGCATAATAATGTAGCATTTTCATCTCCCTCTCCACAAATGAAAACAGTACATTTTAATGAAAATGAGTCAGGTTTTTATTACACCTTGAGTTAGAAAGAATTACAGAAACACCCTGATTCATTCATAGAGGTCTAATGTATAAATATAACGAATAGCCAGCCATTGGTAAAGTGGTAGGAATCTCATCATGAATTCTTTTTCTCCTCAAACTTCACATTCAGTGTATCTGAAGTTTGATTAGAATCATAAAAACAATTGGTTAAAGGCCAAATTTGACAAAGTATATTCAGAAACTAGTATACTTCTTTTAAAACTGAATATATCAGATTTTTATTTCCATTTTTAGTCGAAATGAAATTGTGATTCAGAATTTCTTCAGTAAGAATTGTTCTGGTATTCTGTGGAAATTTACATTACTATGAACACCTAAACTCCTCAGAACATTTGTAGCTGTTTGCAAAAAGCAATTGAAGTTTAAATAAACATTAAGACCTGTTTTCCTCCAGATACTTATACTGAAGATAATTTGATCTAATAAGTTAAACCAAGTAGAGATTTAAGGAATTAACTCATCAGTAGGAAGCGTACACACCAATAGAAGTAAATATTTTAAAAAACTACATTATTGTTTTTGATGTTAATTTGTTATAAAAGTATCTCAAAACATCATTACAACAGTGTGATAAATAATATACAAATGATCTCTTAAAATACCATGAATAGGGAGCCAGCTTCCCTAAAAAATGTTATTCTGTTAATGTCAATATCTTGATTTCTTTAAATGACTTCGTAAAAACTGATAAATAGTCGCAGCAATCTTTTTTTCTAAACACCTAACATTGCTATTAGATGGGAGGCTTTAATGTATAGTAAACAAAATTACATGGATGAGAAAATACCATACGGGGTTTTTCTTTTTCTTTCTTTTTTTCCTTGTTTTTGGGGGGGTTTTTTGTTTTGTTTTTTGGGAGGGGGGTTTGGCCGTATGAACCAGAAGTAGTTTGGAGCAAGATTGCAGCATCTACCATTTTCCAGGAATTGTAGTCCCACACTCATACCACTGGACGTAATTGATCTGAGTGTGACCACCTATTTCTCCAAATTGGACAGGTTCCTGGCGAACTGCTCTGAAATAGCCTAAGAGAGAAAAAAATAGGTTGAGTTTTAATAACTGGTATGTTACATTTAACCCTCACTGTTCATAGATAGAAGGATGTTATTGAATGGCTGAAAGAGTTAAGAAAATTAGATGTCTTTCTTCAGGTGTAATGGCTGCCTAAAGTCATAGAACCCCCAAAATTCTTGACCTTTGGCTTAGCAAGTTAGGAAAGGATCATCAATATAGTACCTGAGAACACTTTCAACTGCCCCTTAATAAGTTCAGTGATCTTAAGTCTGTTTAGTATTTTTAAGTGCCAGTTGAGGGAAAAAAAGTGTTGATTTTTTTTAGACTAATAAATTTAATCAAATAATTGAAAACATTTAAAGAATCTCTTGGTGCTTTCTGAATAACTTAAGACAGTTAACTTACCCCATTCACTGCTTACGTAAGGATTAAATTAATGTTCAGTCTTTTTCAATTTTCATTACACAACTGGCTACTAATTTGCATTTAACACATGACAGAAGTTATTCCTAGTGAAATTTACATTTTAGTTACAATTATAGTTATTTATAAAAGACTGTCTTCCATGGGTTGTAATAAAACTTAAAAATTTTTAAGATTAGAAGATGATGCAGGTGTACTCAGTATGAGAAACAGCATAAATTCATGTATGAATGATTTTAGTTTAGGAAACACTGATCTTTTGTAGCTGTTTTTGCAAATATAGATGTACATAATATGTCTGTAACTGGCCTTGTCTTTGAGTTGAGAAACTTAAGTTTCTTCCTTTTTTTTTTTTTTTTTTTTCTTAGCCAAATATTTGGAACAACATTTTGGTGGTATTATTAACTTGATTACTTTTCTTGACTTCTTTCTGAGTTAATCTGTTCAGCCCTCTTGCTTATGAGGAGTATCAGAAGACATACCTTCTTTGGTGGGTAACTGCTCGGCAGAGAGATGCTGTCCTGTGCGGCCATCTAAAAATGAATCCACAAACTGACAGTGATCTTCTCCATGGCCCCTCTGATCGCCTATGTTATAAAATTTTCCTGAGGAAGCAGAAATTTCAATTCTGATATAAATTGTTTCGAAGAATAATCTTTCCTTTTCTGGCACATTTTTCCCTACTTTCTATTTGCTGTCAGTGTCTTGACTGAACTACAGAATTAGGCTTCCAACTGATGTCTCTGACTTTCTTCTTCCTCTTCCCTTCTGTTATTCTTCACCTCTTTTTACAAATTAGTGAGAGTTGTTAAAAAATTAAAGTTCATATTTCTCCCCAACTCTTCCAGTAATTTTCTTTAGCAATCTCATTATACTAAGAGTAAAGCTTTATTTCAAAGCTGTATGATGAAATGAAAAATATTTTTAAAATTACTGACCATCTGCTCTTCCTAATGTTGGAGCCAGCCTTATGTACTTATTAAATTTTTTTATTTTATGAATATAGGATGAAAATTACAGAATTAGAGTATTGAGGAAGGAGAGTCCTTCTAGCATCTTAAAGAAGCTTTATTTCTTCCACAGTTGTTATGTAAAATCATTTTATTATCAATAGACTTTTTACCCTTGGATGGCTATAACAAAACTGAACTTGAGGGTACTATTGCCTCTAAATAGTAAATGTGCCATGATGGCACTGTGTCAGCTTGCATGTTCATTACTTGCTAAGAGCAAGTCTGAGTTCTTGTCTTCTAGGATGATTTTATTTCAATAATATTTTGCTTAGAGGAACTTAAGTAGGGTCATAAATCACCCCTTAGTGCCTGGAACTTCACAGAGAAGGCCAAGGTAAAGAATATAGTAAACATTCTCTAAAGGAACATTTCAAAATAGGGCTAGTAGCCCTACTTACCTGTAAGGGAGTCACTTAGATAAATCTTGTATCTAAGAGAGTTGCACAGCTGCACACCTACAAATTTTTTATACCATGTCCTTTTGACATATTGTTTGCCTTTGCATTCTGAGTAAGAGTCTGAGTTAAAGGGTCTTTCAGTCCAGATGGCATCTCTTCCTGCTGCATTAGGAGAAGACATGGTTTGAGTTTACTGTCTGACTTTCAAGTACTGAGGAGCTATCTTCAGAGTTTTACAATATAGTCTGCAAAGTTCATCACCAACTTGCTGATACTCACATTTTTTTCCAGTGCTAAATGTAGAAACCAAAAATAGTGTGAAACTTTAAATAAATTCCCATTCCTGTCAATAGTTACAAATCTCAAAGCAGTATGTTTAGGTGTTAGATGTACATTGTCCTCTAGGGACAAATTTAGGTTTACTTTTTGCAGCATAGAATATTTAAATGTTTCAGTATGACATTATTGAAAGTGGAAGTTAGGCTATAATTCCTTAATTATTAAAGTTTGTCTCCCTGGTAAATGCATAAATTCAGAGAATCTGATTTGCCCCTGCAATATCATTAATTCTCAATATCCATCGACATCCTGATTGATTTGAGAAAGCTAATGATTAAAAAAAAAGTCATAACCCAAATTCTGCCATGTCTCTTTAGTTCGGTTAATTTAGAAATTCTGTAGTTGTTCCCATTGAGACAGGTACTTACCAGATACTGGCTCACTTACTCTTGGGTCCGCTAAGGAGAGACAGCAAACACAGAAATCAGCCATTACTAAAGATTTAAGTTTTGTTTGCAAAAGATTAAAGTTTTATTTGCTAAAGACTGAACTTTTCTTTGAAAAGATTCTTGATTGAATGATTTGTCAGGTATTCAAAAGTATCTTTTGTGTGAGGAGTAATGAACCTTTGTTAGTACTCTCAGCTTCAATTTCACCTTATACAAAAAATACAAATAATAATTGTAGAGTCACCAAGATGCCATGAAGTGTAATTGTCAGAAAAATATTATGTAAGTAGTAATGCTCTACATATAGATGTGTATCTTAAGGCGTTGGAGCTTGGAATGTGTACTTAGAAAATTCACAATTGCCCTTTCATGATGTACTCACTGATACTTTGATTCTGGGCATACTCGGGCACATTCATTAGTGTAACTTATGCTTTTTTCTGACATAAAAAGAAATGAAGAAAAGCCTAAGTGGTGTTGTCATGGGGCTGCCTTCATCAATTAGCTTTTTCTAATAGATAGTTTTTCAGGAATTCCTGAAACTAAATATACAGAGTTTAGCTGTGTTAAAAACAGTCTCCCTGAGCAAAACATTTCTCCCACTGGATCCCTTTACTTTCTTGTTGGAGATTAATATTCATGTGATTACCTGATTCAGTACTGAATGCCACTGTGTTGCTGACTGGGCCTTCACCAAGTGGGTTTTTGGGTTTCACCTGGAATTCATAGCTGTTTAGGGAGAAATAAAATAATGGTAGTGTATTACTGAATAGGAAAGCAACATTTGCTTCTTATACTGACATCCCTCCTGATTCTATTTGAAATATGATGACAACATAGGTTCTAGAAAAAGGCTGTAAGAAGCATAATGCTACTTAATTTTATTTCCCAAATACATTTGTTTCAGCTGATGTTTTACACAACAAAATTGTTTTCCAGAGATGGTGCTTTTTCAGAACACCAAACTAGGGAAAACTGAGCAAGCTGATAATAAGATGTAAGTATGTGGTAGACCCAAGCTATTTCCATCAGTGAGGCACCTTCACTTTTCTTCAGATATCTGTATTTCCTGGGAAAAAAAAGTAGAAGTACCTTGAACTTAGCTAGTGAATTTAGGTAATCTTAAGTAGTACTTCTCATTTGAGCTACCTGTGTCAGAATCAGGATAGGGTGACAGTGGGAAAAGTTTGTTTAAAATGCATATTTCTTGCCCTGCCCCTGCTACTTGAAATTTTTTTGGAAGGCTTTTGTATCTTTTGGGACTCAGGTTTGCTATGGACCCTAGGAAGCCACAGTGTTGAGAAATGGGGCAGTGTTACCTCCCACAGAGCCCAAGAACAAACAGACTGCCTTGGTAAACCACATTCCACTGGCCAGGTACTTCCCCCTTTATTTAAAGACAAAACATAGATCCCTTGGAGTTTTAGGTCCTTCTGATTCTGTCCTTAAAATTAGTCATAGAATTGTGCAATATTTGACAGATTTTTATTCATAGGATAATATAAGCTGAAAATTCTAAGAAACTCAAAAAACAGTAAAACATTTTGCCATTTGCCTCAAACCGAGTTCTGTCAGCAGCAAACTTGGCAACAAAATAACTAGATTAACACCATCTTGAGTCTCTTGATAATATTGTGTTAGACCCAGATTTGCACAAACTTTTTACAAAACAGTTTACATCTTTGCGTTAAATAAGGTAGAACACAAAAGAGATTTTTTTTTTTTTTTTTTTTTTTTTAATAAGCAAATGAAAACCAAGAGAATGACAATCCTCAGTTTGGTACGGATGGTATCAACTGAACAAAAGAATTTTCTGGGGTTCAAGTAGTCACTTTCTTGATCACTGACATTGCATTATAACAATGCTAGAATCTAGTAAAAAGATAGTCTTGGGCTGGCCAAATAGTTCAACATATTAATGCGGTATAGTGGCACGTGCCTGTTATCCTAGCTCTTGGGAGGCTGTAAATAGGTGGATCACTATAAGTCTGATCTAGTAGTGAGACCCTAAACACCCTGTAGACCCTTCCCTAAAAAAAAAATAGAAAAAAAAAAAAAAAAAGTCCTAGTATTACAGCCGTGGCAAATACTTTTGAAGCACTGTGTGTCAGATGCATGTACAGTATATATTGGATATCCAGTGTAAAGTAATCCAACACAAACCTCATAACTATTATCAGTTAAGAAAAATATGTATTTTATATGTTTGTAAAAAACATATACAGTATTTTCACATGGAATATTCTCCAGATTGAGTTCTTCCAAAGAGTCCCTTAGGCCTCAGAAGAAAATAAAACCATTAACAAAAAAGCAAAATTAAGACCTTACGAAACTGGTGAACTGAAAATGGAAGGAACAAAGTCATTTGGAGATGGATTCAAGTAGGAATACATTTCACTTTTCATTCCAAACCATTGCCAAGAGTCTTGTGCCTTGGCCAAAGCTGACTGCTGGAATCATGTCCATGTCTTTTTATTTCACAGTTATTTATATTTAAGCTGTGTTTGTATCATGGCCACAAATATTTATAAGCTACTTTTTTAAAAGCATTTTATACTTGACAAATTTTGAAATAATTTAAAATTGAATTTAACAATCTGATAACATCTTTATCTGATTAAAACCTAAACAAAAAATGTTTTTGTGGCATAATCTTTCCCAAAAAAGTACATTTTCTCAGAAGATAAATGATACCTAAGTCTCTAATGCTTAAAGAGGAAGTATTGATTATACACAGACTATAAACACAGGTTGGTATTTAAAGTTTTTAGCAAAGTTCTTTGAAATAGAAAATAAAAGTTAAATTACAAGTCACAAATTTGAAAACATTCTACAAATACAGATATAAAATGAAAGCATATAAGGAAATTGGGAAAATTATTTCAGAGAATACAGTGTTTAACTGTACTCTAGAAGAGAAATAGGAAAGTAAGGTAGAAAATTGTTCCAAAAGCTGTACAGTATTAAGAAATTTTCCAGTACTAAAAAAAAAAAAAAAAATGTGTTTCCTAATTTAAAAGGCCTATTTTGTACCTGGGGATGGGAGGCACACAAGGGGAGTTGGAAAATTTCACAATAGAAAGGGATAAAATCAAGGTTCTAAAGACAGAACAGAACAGTGGGGCCCATTCAAAGGATCCAGAATCAGAATGATGTGTTTTACTTTAGCAGCAACTTAGGGAGAAAATTTTAAAAAGAAATAATGCCTTCAGAAGTCTTCATCATTGACATTGCATTATAACAATGCTAGGATCTAGTATAAAAAGATGCATCCTAGTATTACAGCAGTGGCAACTATTGAAGCACTCACCGAGGGTCAGATGCATGTACAATGTGTACTATATATCTAGTGTAAAGTAATCCAATTCATCATGCTTTTATCCTAAAATCTATTTTCAGCCTAACAGTAGTATCAAATTAAAGCATGGGCTTATAAACATGTGGAGAAGAAAAGGGGTTTGTGGTTTTGGAGGTGTAAGTTCTAGGGGCCACAGTTGATGCTGACATTCTTACTAATAGAATCCTGAGGTAGAAGAGAATATCATATGGCAAGAGAGAGCATGTACCTGTTGGTGTTCTCTTCCTGTAACACCTTTGCAGTTAATTTTTCATACCTTTTAGTACCTCATCACTAGGGATTAAACTCTAGAATGTGTTCAGGGATACAAGAGCAGTCTTCATAGAAAACAAAATAAAACATTTATTTCTGGGAAGAAATGAACATTTAAAAGCTACTTACTTACAAGATCCACTATATAAAAATGAATGTCTAAATGGAGTGCAATCCGGATGAAAACTTGGCCACATTTAAGATGGGTAAAACCTAAAACCCCTCTCAGACTGCCATGCATAGTTCTTCCTAGATGGGTGTGAGTCTCAGTCTTCTTACTGCCAGGGGTATAGCTCAGTGGCTTAAGTGCCTAGCTGGCATGCGCAAAGTCCTGAGTCCAACCTCTGGTACCACAAAAAAAAAAAAAAAAAAAAAAAAGATTTCTTTCTCAAGTTACTGTACATGATTGGAATTAGGTGGTGTGATCCAATAATCAATAGTCAAGTACATGGTATCTGTAGGCAGAAAGATGGACTTGTAGCTCACTAATATGTGATTTAAGGTATATTAATAGGGGTAACCCTCAGGTCTAGTTGAGAAGGGCACTTCTTCCTCATAACTTTTTCCCTTGGTGCTTTCCCAAGATGTAGAGTGCTGGGTTTTATTTCGTACCGTTTGTTGAACTTTTTTTTGTTACATAGTCATAATGGTTTAGAAAATTGGCTTAACATAAGACTTATCAACCTCAAGCAACCTGCCACCCCATAGCTTTTTGCCAATTTTTGGCTTATTTGATTTGGTGGTTTTACCTTTACTATAGTTTTTTTTTTTTTTTTTTTTTTTTTTTTTTTTTTGGAACTGGGGATTGAACTCAGGCCCTTGCGCTTGCCAGGCAAGCGCTTATTTTACTGAGCTATCTCCCTGGCCCCTGTAGTCTTGAAATACTTCAGCCCCATTCAGATGAGGTTTCCATTAAATGAATAAAAATAGAAGTAGAATAGGAAAAAAAAGTAAAGGGCTACTCAAGAGGTCTAGGGAAAAGCAGTCAGTTTGTGAAAGTGTATCTCCAAGGACACTTCAAGACTATAGCAAGTGTTTCTGGATACCTGGGACATGCAGAGTCATTGTGTAGATTTCAGAATACAGTTAAGGAGCAACCAGGGCCGAGCTGAGCAAGAACGCCAAGCTAGAATGTAGTACATAGCTAGGGGAATGGCAGACTCCCATATCCCAGTTTCTGAAACAAGCACTATTACAAGACCCTCATCTCATACGTACAGTCAGGGGCAGAAAGAAGTGGAAGGACTTAGCAGTTGTAAGAAGTCATAAACTAGATGCCTGTTATGCCCTAAAGGATGTTTGTTGTGTTCCCCATTTCTGTGAGGAAAAAATAAGAGTGAGCTGCACTTCTGTAGTGCTGCCATGATGTTCTCCCACTCTTTCCGTAGAGACTAAGGAGGTCAAAGAAAATGTAATAAAGAGTATACAGTGATATGAAAGGAAGGACTGACCCTTTTATAGACCAGCAGAGCTCTGTGTTCTTGGTGAACTGCTCTTTTGCCTAATGAAAAACCGCTAAACCAAGCTATCAACTCAGTTTCTTCTTTAAAAAGGAATTGCTCTTCTGCTCTCCACACCTACAATAAAACTAAATAAATGCCTGATACTTTGGCAGTTTGTTTTACTTCTTTCTGCAAAGCGCATGAGATGAGAAGAGACATTGAAAAGTTAATACAGAATTTCCAGAGGCCAGAATTTCACTAAAACACTATAAAAAGGGTATAATAGTTATTCCACATGCCTATTTTCTTCATCCAGGTTTATAGTTTACAAAATGTTGCTGCCTCCATTCCAGCTAATCTTCACAGTGCCATCATTTTATTAAATCAAACAACATAAACAGAGTCCCAAACAATCCTTGCCACCACTGTGGTAGGTTTTAATCTTACAGGAAGAATCGTTCTCCAAAATCCTCCCATGCCAACAGAGGTCAGTAAAAATACTTGGGCAAATTAAGTGAATTTGATTTGTCTTAATTACCAGACAGAGTACATTTTCCATAGGAAGTCATTGGAGCACATGATGGCTGGAACACACAATGAATTCTTCAGTTTTTCAGCAAAGTAGGAGAGAAGTGGGAGTGCAGGTTGATAAAGCCATTTTAGGACTGGGGGTGTGACTCGGGTAAAGCTCGTGCTTTGTATGCAGAAGGCCTGGTTTCGATCCTTAGTACCACATACTCTAAATAAATAAGTGCCCTTTTTGGTGTCAGTGACTGTTGTATCTGTCTGTACTGTCAACTAGCTCATCGGGAAGAGTGCAGACCATCAATGCATTATCAAAACATGTTCAAATAATTCATTTGAGCACAGATTGCAGACAGTAGAAAGAAACAATTTACTGGGAAAATTTTGTTATGGTGCTCACCTAAGTTCTAGCTCCAACACTGACTTGGTGCCCAGCTTAAACTATCACAGATTATGAGCTAGAAGAGATTTACACTGCACACTGCCTGTCACTATGTACACTGATGTATGATTTATGTTATACTTTATCAGTTCTTCTATTCACAGAAATAAAAGTCATCAGCAATTTTGCAGACTAAGCAAGTTGCTCCATTTTGGAAAAGCCCTTCATAAGATTTTTCTTTTAGGTCAACAAGAGCCTAAGGACAGAAGATTGATGATCTTAGGTGATTATAAGACAGGAGTGAAAAAGAAATGAAAGTAATTACTGCAAGGAGGATAGGTAGGCACTGACTGATTTGGATAACAACACTTCCACATTTCTTTAAAGGTGAGAAGTGAGAGATGGATGCTGTAAAATGGAGTTTGCCTGGGTTAACTTTTTTTTTTGCTTTACTTGACTGAGAGTTAGTGTTCCACTTCACTGTGCATACTCATAAGCACAGCTCATTGAGCTGCAGAAGCCACTGGCCTGGCTGTGGGCATTATGCTGCCTTTATTGGTGTCCCCGGGTACTCCTGAGTATCGGAAGGTTCTACTCTGTGCACACAGGAATACCCAGTGCCTGGTGTGGAGCCAGACTCACATTTTGGCACAGTAGCTGCTGAATAACCCCTTCTGTGAGCTGTTCTGGGCTTCTGTAGAATATAAATTAAAAACCTGGCTATGTCTAAAAACACGTAGAAGATCATCGGCTTTCTCTGTGAGAAGGAAAAGGAGCACAGTCTACTGTCATTTTGGTTTTGGAATAACGTGTGACCATTTAGGATTTCTGACCAAAACCAGTCTGTAGGTCTGTTCCTTGAGACTTGTAGTTTAAACATTCAAGCTCTGAACTCTACACCACCTGTGTCAGTGTGTTAACATTAGCCAGTAAATATCCTTTTAGATGTCATTTTTCTCATCAGTCCAATTAGTGGAAAAAAAAACTTAACAAGACATGATTTACATCTATCTCCTGGTAGTGGAACATCACTATAGCAGTTCATTCAGAAGCTTCTTATCATCCAGTTCTTCAAGTAGGAAAGTCCAGAAGCTCAGCAGCTATAATTCAAAATTTGCAGTAGGCTTGCCTGGCAAGTGCAAGGGCCTGAGTTCAATCCCTGGTTCCGCCCAAGAAAAAGAAAAAGAAAAAGAAAAAAAATTTGCAGCTGCACACTAACACATGCTATTGTTGCTGACACTCCTTTGGCTTACCACATTCACCCAGCTAGCTGTCAGGTCTCAGGCCAGATGTCACCTTTTCCAGGAAAGTTGTCCTAACTTGTGGCATTCCTGCTGGGCTTCCCGTGACTTCTGGCATAGTTCACCAGTCTTCTACCACTTCAGGCAGGATACTTGGTTACTAGCTGCTTCTCTGCTAGCCTTGATCTTCATGTGTACTCAAGTTTATAACCACAATACAAGCACACAGCTGAGCTCACCCTTGACACTTCATACACGTCAGCTGCTAGAAATGCAAACTTTCTACAAACAAGTTGACCTTAAAATTTCACCAGAAAGACTGTGTTCTGCATTTTTATCATGAGCTAATGGCTGCACTGTGAAGAGTTGAGGACAGTCTGATTCAGAAAAGGAACACAGTGCACATTTAGAAACTGGACACCTTTCATTACAAAATTGTATTACATGAGCCATTTTTTATTAGGTGGAATAAAAAAGCAAGAAACTAAAAAGAAAAACCAAACCATCCAGATTTTGTGAGCACACAAGTACCTACTAAAAGGACAAAATTTAATTTTTTCCTAAAAATGTATCACAGTAAAATTGGACTCTCAGTTTTGGTAAGGAAGCAGAATCGGGACCATCAAGTTGTTTTTTTTTTTTTTTTTTTTAATAACTAAAATATGTGCTTATTTTGGCCAAGTTAAATCCTTTTAAGAAAACTAACAGTTAATGAATCTTTCCATGAACAGTTAAACTAAAAATCTCTCAGAAACCACATTTGTAGTAGAAATTATTTTTGCAACATAGGACTAAAGTTTGCACAGTAAACCACCTATAATGAATTAGACTCAGTCAACTGATATGACAGAGTTTGGAGAAGTAACACTTAATAAAAAAAAAAAAACCTTATTTTTCTCTTAATAATAAGTGGATAAAATATTGTATTTTTATACAAAAAGGAATCAAGAACAATGCAGTGTTACGAATAACCTGGTATCAACGTATAATAAGGGATATCTAGAAAAGGTGTATATTATAGAACAGTCTTAAAAATATCCAACTCAGCTAGATGTGGTGTCACATGCCTATGATCAGAGCACTTGGAGAAGCTGAGCTAGTGAGACTGAGTTTGAGCTCAGTCTGAGAAACTTAGTAGCTGAACAAGACATTGACTCAAACTAAAAAAGGGTTGGGGTTGTAACTCAGTATAAAGACCGTGATTGTATCCCAAGTACTCCCCACAAAAGTGTGCTCCATTGTCAAAACTGTAGTCTCAATCTTTTAGTAATAAAATATCCCCAAAGCAAATAATTTCTGTATCTGAAAGTAGGGTGTCATTATTTAAAGTATTACTACTAAAAGCTACCTACATTTTGTCACATGGCTTCCATTTTTTTTTTTTTTTTTTTTGTACTTTTCTAGCATAAAAGCCAAATTCTTTGGTGCTTTAAATGTAGTTTACATCATTCACATTCCAGTTTTTTCTTGCCTGCAGAGTCTAAATTGTGATATTTAACACCAGCATTTGATATTAATGTCATTTTTAATGTTACTAACTTTAAAGATCATTTTCTTTTGGTCCTTTTATCCCCACGAGTAATTTGAATATTGTCAAAACATGTCTCCAGGGGTATGTAGTACCACATACAGAAAGCCGTAGTGAATGAAACACACCCCTCTAAGACAGAGAAGATGGAATAATTCAATTTCTTTGTTATGGTTATGACTTTTGCCTTCTCAGAATACACCTGGAAGAGCAGTGAGCCTTACCTTGTGTCTGGTTTCAGATTTTCTACTGTGGAGAAAGTTTGATTTGTAATCTGAATGGATTTATTCTTCCCACTGAATGAACCATTTTCTCTGGATATAACTTCATATTCTGAAAAACGAAAACAAAAAGAGTAGCTGTCTTCATGTCCTAGTTGATTGAATGGCTGTTGAAGCTAGTAGTATAATATAGACATTTATAAAAGGAAGCAATTGTAATTGTAGTACTAGAAACATATTGATCTTATATGTGATCAATTTCCAGATAGAAATGGTTACACCAGTTAATAAAGATTCCAAAAACCCTTTGGGAGTTGCTTACTGGCCATTTCTGCTTTCTCTTTATCAGACCAAAAGTAAGTCTAGCAAAGAACTAATGGCCCTCCTGTGGTCGATTTAGACATAGCACCTGTCACAATATTAGGCAGCAAAGTCTGTCACAATATTAGGCAGCAAAGTCTGCCACCATCAGGAAGTGCAGTTTGGGAAAACATTGTCTGAGAGGTGATGCTTGTGTAGAAGCTGAGTTTCCTAATCTGTGGGGCTTTCTATGCAGGCTGAGGGAAGGGGCCCTGGCTATGTGGCACGGTGCAAAAATTTGACCTTTAAAACTACATCTAGCAATAACAGTCAACCAAATAATAAGCTATTTTTCTTTAGTTCATTATTTGCAGTTATAGAATTGGAAGGATTTCTTACCTATTGCTTATATAAGTTATATCACTTTGATAATTTTCTTTGTAGTAAAGAAAATCACCTATTTAAAATCTACATAGAGGTGTGCATAAATTTCACTTAAAGATATATTTTTATGAAGTTCTAGGACTCATCCAAAAAGGCTACGAGACTAAATAAAATTTACAGATTTGTCCATTGATTTTCCCTGCTCTCCACTGAGACATAAACTTAATGCATGTGACAAGATAATAGAACTAAAAAACAAAGTAGGGCTAGGGTGACAGCTCAGTGGAATAAGTGCTTGCCTGTAAGCACAAGGTCCTGAGTTCAGTTCCTGGTAACACACACATACACACACACACGCACACAAAAGTAAAAATAAAATAAAATAATCACACTACTCAAAATTACTTCCATTGGTGCAAAGAAATGAAAGTTCACCTCACATAAAGAAAGATGACAAAAAAACTGGCAAGTTCTATCATGGACTTCTGCTATATACTGAGATGAATATTGGCCTAAAAATGAAAATTAAAAATAAAAAACTAGAATAACTCAGGTAAACCTAAACTTCCAATTTTAATTTGGAAAGATTTTTAATAGTTTATTTAAAAAATCCAAAAAGGAAGAAGATAATTTGGGGGAACAATTTAATATGACTATCTTTCAAAAATCCAAACTGGGAGGCAGGAACCCTGAGCTAGACACCATCACTGCATCTGCCAAAGTCCTACTGACCGATGGCTAGTGGAGTGACTTATGCACCTTCCTGTTTGCTCCCAACGGTTTTCCTCTCCCCTTGGTTTTTTTATTCTAGATGAGCAGGGAAAGGGAGGGAGGGGAAATCAGGAGTTCAGAATTGTTCATTTTCTTCAACTGTTAAGGAATAGTTGCTAGGAGAAAAAATGTAAGCAAATTTAGTTTTTTTAAGAATTTAAAATGTAGGATATAGCTCAGCAATTGAAATTTTCCAATTGGAACAATGCAAGTGCTGTTCAGTCACAAAAAAAAAAATTATATAAAATTCTACTTAATTCTATAAAAAAGGAGCTTCTTTTTTTTTTTTTTTTTCGGAACCGGGGATTGAACTCAGGCCCTTGCACTTGTTGGGCAAGCACTTATTCTATTGAGCTGTCTCCCCAGCCCCAAAATAAACTTTTGCTGAGGGTACTCCTCATCAACTGTTTGCTATCCCTTCTTAGTATTAGCCTAGAGATTTGATATTTGAAACTTGTAGTGAACATATTCTCTAATTTTCATTTGACTCATATTCAAAGTTAATATTTTTTGCTCTGGAAGAGTTTTCAAAATGTATCTAGGAGTTTCCTTTGCAATTAAGAGCATTTAGTATTTCTCTCAAAATTCTAACTTTTAAAACTATGCTTGTTTTGTGCTTTGCACATTTATCTTTTTATTTATTTTTATTGTTGTTTTGAGACAGGGTTTCACTGTAGTTCAGATTGGCCTTTACCTCACTATATAGTCCAGGCTGGCCCAAACTCATGGCAGTCCTCCTGCCTCAGTCTCCTGATGCTGGGATTATCGGCATGGTCCATTTTAGTTTTTTAAAGTTATATCTTTCCATAAATCTACGAATATAAAGATTGCTTCTATTATGGCACTACTGATGAACATTAATATAATAGTTATTTGTATATTCAAATTCCCTGTCTTTCTCTTGGAATACACTGATAACAATGGGAATCATTACTATTAAAACAAATAAGGAAACAAGTTCACAGAGGCAATTTATGAATCCAAGTTGCACATCTAAAATGTAATGAGCATTTTATTTAAATCCACATCAGCATGCTCTGTGGCTATGACACTCAACAGAATGACTAATTTAAGTTCTTCAAGAATCCAAGCTATGATCAATATTTTGCTGTACCTAGTTCTTCCTGCATGTAGAAGGGACACGGAGAAGCAACTGAACTGGAATGTATTCACTTGAGGGGAGAGTGTGCTTGTCAACTAGAACAACGTTCCTAGCAAAGGATGATTCCAGAGGTGAGGGCTACAGCTCATTATTTTTTTGTTGTTGTTTTTCTCAATTTCTTATTGCAATACCAGTTCCAGTGACATAAAAATTCCTATACTATCTAAGCTGCTGGTTTTAAACAACCATCTTCAAAATCAAGTGTTATATTAATGTTTAATATAACATTAAAACAAAAATGGAAAAACTAGAGCAGATGATTAGGGCAAATGGTCTAATGCTGAAATACAAATTAGGGGAATAACAGTTATAGAGGAACTTTTTTCCATTTAGGAAATATTAGGGCTAAAGAGATGTGATCCTGGTCCATAAAATTTGTTATGTCTTAACATTCTATGAAAGATCCCAAGTAGCCCATTACCATGAGTAACAATATTATAAAAGCAGATAAATGGATGAAGTATGGGTATATGTATAAAATATATTTATGATTCGAGATTTCACATTTATATAAATTTTAAAAATTATTACAGATGAATGCAGAAAAGAAAATCTGATAAAAATCTGATAAAAGTTAAATTAGCTATTATCCATGTAGTAGATTACATGTATTAGATTAACTAATCCCAGCTTGATATCCAGCATCTGTAGGGCAAAAGAAATTTTATAGATTTTTTTGACTTTGATAAAACTAAGCCCCAGACTAGCATAGGAACTTATTACCAAAGTATAACTATCAAGAGTTTTGGATGTATTGCTACATTACTGATAATCAGTACTGAGACTGATTGACTTTAAGGTTTGGGGTTTCTGTAGCTGGCATAGTCCCAAATACAGAAGCAGGTTTATGCAGAACTCTGGAAACAGAAATGGCAAATTGGTTCTTTTTCAAAACAGAGGTTAATTTTGTATAAAAATGAGAGTTCACAAAATATGGTGTAAAAAAGCTAATTAAGGTCAGGGATGGAGCTCAATGGCACAGCACCTGCCTGACAAGCACAAGGTCCTGAGTGTAATTCTCAGTAAAAACAAACAAACAGAGACGACCTGGGGCCGCGGAATCCTGAACAGACCCAGAACGCAGGCCCGGCGAGTGAGTGAGACGACCGAGGACCTGCGGGATCCTGAACAGACCCAGAGCGCAGGCCAGCGAGTGAGTGAGACGACCTGGCCTCGGGATCCTGAGCAGACCCAGAGTGCAGGCCGGGCCAGTGAGTGAGACAACTGGGGGCCTCCGGATCCTGAATAGACCCAGAGCGCGCAAGCCCGGCAAGTGAGAGGACTCGGGCCGCGGGATCTTGAACAGACCCAGAGCGCAGGCCCGGTGAGTGAGAGAGACGACCTGGGCTGCAGGATCCTGAACAAACCCAGAATGCAGGCCCGGCGAGTGAGACACCTGGGACCCTCCGGATCCTGAATAGACCCAGAGCGCAGGCCCAGCACGGAACCCTTCAGCAGAACTCCCTGCAAAGAGGCTAGAGGCAAGACCCACTTAGCTGATTCAGGAGCAGAACATCTTGCCAGAGAGACACAAAGGGTTCAACTCTAATGCCTGCAGCAGAAAGAAGTGGAGCACAGCAGCCAGATCCAAGCAACACCCACCTGGAGGAATCTGAACTTCATAGATCCAGACCTGGTGCTAAGGTAATAACTCTATCTAAGCTCTACACCAAAGGTCAGAAGACAGTGGTATACA